GGAATGAATGGAGGATGAACGGTAAACAAACGTTAGCAGTCGGCTGAAGCCTTGGAGTGTGCCTCCGTGTGGACGTCAGGGGTTTGGAGTCGCTCAGTGGTGTGTCCGTGGCTTTGCTATGTGTCTCTTAAGTCGCTGATGTCCCCCAGGTGCCACCGAGGGGGCCTCCAGGTGAGGACCAGACACTCGGTCTGAAGTGGGAAAAAGTACTTGTATGTGTCCGAAGGTCTGCTGTTACGGAACAGGAGTCATTGGAATTGGAGGTGTTGAAAGGGAAAATACGAAGAAGTCTAAGTAAAAGTGTTCATGGAGTTTCAACTGCAAAGTTAAGAAGAATGTTAGGTCTTTGGTTTAAACTTCTCGTGTGTGCTACGCTTCTGGCATGGTTGCCATGAAACGAGTCTGCTTCATACGCACTGTAGTGTCAGTTATGATGGGAGGGGTAAGACTGAAAGATGTAGGCAAGAATGTTAAGAGCTAAGTTTAATGGGACAGCAGGATACTGGAAAGGGAGGTCTTGGAGAGCCAGTCAAGGCAAAGGATGAAGAATGGCAGAAAAGCAGGTTAGCAGAATTCGAGGTCAATAATTTCTTGAGAAATTCAGGTGCTGTTCTCTGTTACTTGGATGGATACTAACCCTTGTGGTTACTTTTAAATTTCTGATTGATTAAACCCTGGTGGACTTTGCTTTTGCCCGTTCACCTGTCTTCCCCTCCAGAGTTTTCATTGGGAAAAAACCAAGTTTCTTCAGGAAGAGATCTAGTCACTGTTTTTCCTTTTCTTAGTTCTCTATTTGGGATCTTTAGCTAACTCCAGTGCTGACTGTTGGTTTTAACACTCGGAGCCAAGAGTAGTAAATGAAATACTATGGAGTTTAGGCGTTTGGGGGTTTTGTTGTTGTTGTTTCTCTGAAATTCTAAAGATAATTCATCAGATATTTTTGAACTTGCTGTATTTGGAAAAATACAGTTAGCCATAGAGTCACTGGTGGAGTAGCATGATAAATACCTGGAGAGGGCCACTGCATTAGTTGATGTTTGGCAGGTTAAATTTGCAGCTGTAGTCTAGAACGTTTCTGAAACAAGTCACTGAATGGTGTTACAAATCGCCAGCAATTGCAAAAGAATGCATTTAGTTTTTCCCAAAGAAATTAACTTTTCAATCCTAAAAAAAATGCTACTAGCAAAATAATGCTGCTAATTAAAAATCAAAACTTTTCATAACCTATGAAGTGCATGAATTTTTGTCTGAGAGTTTATTGTACACTATTCCATTCTTACTTTGTACACAAAGGATGGAGGATGTGCATGGTCTTCCCTGAACTTTCACAAGCAGCCTACTTTAATCGTAAGTCTTAATACTTACTGAATTGTTTTGATACAGTGCTGCAGTGTTCTAGCACAGCTTACAGGATTCCTGCAGGAGCACTGAGAAAGTATTGCTCCCTCCTCTCAGTAAATCATAATCACTTTTTTAAAAAAAAACCAGGATAAATATCACAGGGCCAGTGTTTCTGCATTTCCAGGCACTGAAGTGTTGTGTTGAAGTAATATGGAAAGGCTTTTCTGTTGCAGAAGAAAGCATTTGAACACCCTCTAAAAATTACCAGTTCATTTTTTGCAAAGATTATGTACAAAATGACAGCATGGTTTTTTCTTTCTCTATGAATGCTCTATTTCCAAATTCAGATAGGCATCAAGTCAGTAATACCTTCTCCTGAGATACTGGCAATAGAGAATAGTCCTGAACTACTCATCATCTTTCATCAGTAATTTTGAGATGATAAGAATGGTGTTCCTTTTTCTTTTCCTGCCACTAACCAGAAGATACAGTTGACTTCTAAGGTGAATTGGAATCTGTTGCAGCAGTAGGCGGTTACAAACATGTTTCAAGTGAATACCTAAGTGTTGTCAGAGTAGTAATTGCAGCAGATATTGGGAGTTGGCCTCCGCCTCCTTGCTAGATCCCTACTTTGTGCTGTCTGCAGGAGGAGTAAATACATGATTCCCATGACTGCATATTTGTCGTCTTGGCAGCTGGCAATTCCTTTGGAGTCCTGCCTCCAAGTGTTTTCCCTCCAGAATACAGATTGTTTCTGCTCTTCTAAAGTAAAGAGTACTAGAGAAAAGGGCAGATATCAGTTGTTGTGTTGCCTTCAGTCAGCAGATTCATTGAAAACACGATTTGCTATTCTATTTTTTCATTGTAAACTAGTATTGAGAATGTCTGCAGTAAATCAGTTGTAGCAGGTTACTTAGTAGTTTTAATTCTGGGTGGTTAAAATGCTCGTAGCAGAAGTTTGAAGCATCAGGCCATGTGGTCTGCAGCCTTGCTGAAAGATGAGCCCGTTCAGAAGTTAGGGAAGTTGAATGTTGCTGTAACAAACCCTTTGCTCTGAGCTGATTTGAATTCCTTTTGCAGTAACTAGATGGAAGTTCTGAAATAGGCAGAATGATGCTTCTTTACTCCTGAGCTCTTCAGGTAACAGTAAACTATCAACTAGATCTACATCTCAGTCAAAGGTGCAGCTAAAAGACATTTGGGTAGATCTGGCACGCAGTAGCAGTGAAGGCTGTGACAGCGTGGGTGTGGTTGGTTGGCTGTTTCAGGCTACTGGGATCTTCAGTATGTGTGTGCACATATATATAGATACACATATATACACACAGACACATGCTGGGCTGCCAGCCTGCCACAGGATTATGGCTGCTTTTACTAGCAGGTTTTTATGTATCCTGCAGGCTTCTAAATTCTCTGGTCACAGGGATAGTGATAATATAAGTGTGAGTGCGTGGATAAATGCAAGGTTTACTTTACAGCCGTGTTGCTGTTCCTGTTATTTCTCTCCTAGACTGTCACACAGACTGACAAGGGAAGGCTTCAGAGGTTTAGTTTTAAAAGAAGAGTGTATTTCTAAGTGTGGCCTTTAAGATACCGTAGCGGCTATTGTCAAGTGGTAGCTTTAATCATAGCTTGATGTTTCTACCTCAGTTTCTCAGACAAACCTTCCATTCCACTCTTGCCTTCCCAGTACTACTTAAGCAGCCCTTGCAGACAGGCAGAACGTAAAGGTGTTTAGTATCTACCATTCTGTGAAAACTGGCAGCTGGCTGGGCACCTGAGCTAGTGTTTAATAGCTGCCAGCACATACGCAACTTGTAACGTGTCAAGCCTTCCGCATTAATCTGCATTGCATTTAATCCAGAAGTTGGGGAAGTAGGGCTGGCCGTATGGGAGCTGGAATGTGAGATCTCAGGAGGAAGGGAAGGACCGGGGTCCTTACGTTACTGCGGTAAACATAGTGGGATCAGAGTTGCAAATGGAAAATGAAGTTTCATTATCTCTTCTTAAAACAATCTCTTCCTCCACACTAGGAGAAAATCAAAAAGGATGTCTTTGCCATATGTAGAGATGCATGCCTTTTTGCATTCAATTTCAGGATGTAGTTCCAAATAGGTACTCTTTTAATAAGCAGCTTCCAAAGATCTGTCGGTTATTGACAAAATTGGCGTCTACAGGACTTACTATGTTTGTGCACTCAGGAAAGTTTTTAGGTGGTCATAAAATAGGATGAGTTTGTCTATAAATTTTAATTATCTGTAGATTGGACATTCTGAGTTTTGTTACATGCCTAAATTTGTTTCTTTTTCAGAGATTGGAATGGGACTAACAGGCTTTGGAGTGTTCTTCCTTTTCTTTGGAATGATACTCTTCTTTGACAAAGCTCTTCTGGCTATTGGAAACGTAAGTGCCTGCTGTTTAGTCTTAGATTCTGCACGGCTTAGAATTAAGGATATGATCTATGAAAAATAAACTCAGAACAGCATATTATCAGTATAAACTGGATCACAAAAAGTATTGTGACAATCTGCTGTAAAAGAAGAGTTATGCTCAGTGATATGAGTGAATCATTTGTCCTGATTAAGGTTAGAGCAGCTCACATCAATCTCAGTATTGTACCTCCAGGTCAGGCCTGTGGTATGTTGGTCAGATTTTTAGAGTAAGATTTTTAGATTGGCTGTCATTGCTAACACTTTCTTTTTTGTGATCTTGTAAGATAACTGCTCAATTTAATTATTTATTTGGATAAAGATGGTGATGTGTTCTGTACATGCCAGCAAGCGTAGCCTTCCTCCTCTTTATGAGGAAAGAAAGCAGTATGAATTTTGATCTCCTGCGTTTAGAAGAGCCAATCACCCTTCCATAGTAGAGAGTTTTAATAGCTTTAGTTTTTACTGAATCAAAGTTTTTTTCACTTAAAGCAGGATTGAAAATAAATCCTAACTCTGGTGCACAAAATTTCCAATCCGAAGCTAATCTAAAACGACAGGGTGTTTTCTGAATGTGATAGTCTCAGTGCCTCTGCTGTTCTCAGCTTTGCCAGTCAGCCAAGAGCACAGCCTGGTAGAGGTTCACACCCTCTCTTGCTGATGCCTAAGAGCCCGTGATCAAAACTGATCAGTTTAATTCTCTGGCAGCAGAATCAAATACTGAAATTCACTGCAGGAAAATTTATAAAGGTATGTTTGAATTTGTATGTGTTAGTTGAAGCATTGTTCTGAGCAATCAGTGTGTAGTGGAAGAGTAAAAATTAAAATCGTGCTTATTTTTTTCTTTTCCTAACGTAAGGTGGAAATTCGAGATCTTGTTTAGGGAAAATGATGAAAACATAGGTAGGAAGAGACAACGACAGGCTATGTGGTAACCAAAGATAATGCAAAAAAAGGTACTGTATCCTTACAGAGAGTAAAAAAAAAAAAGTGATAGCAGAAAGAGGAAAAGGCAGTAAGAAATTGGTTTGTTAAATAATATCCAAAACTTTAAAATTTATCTATAAACTTGGGTAAAATCTCCTTTTCAGCAAAAACGTTGCTCCCATGTGTGCTTACAGGCTGAAACAGTTACAAGTTCTGTTGATAAGGGACACTAGAAGCAGTTCTAACTAATTGGGACTGGTGTTACAGCATTCAGTCTATCCTGGGACTAGTAAATGGTAGAAAGACTGCACGAGTTAAAGAAAAGGTAACTGATACTGCTCTTCAGCTGTTTGCCTTTCTTGGCTTTGCACCATTCAGTAGATCAGGTCAAGCTATGGAAGACATCCATGCCACAGAACAGAGGTGCTTTTGTAACATCTCTGTTCTCAGATTTTAGGAACCTTTGCTGTCAGTGGTACTGAGCAGTTAGCACTGCTTGTGGATAATTCTGTGGTTCTATAATGGTTGGACTTATGTTACAGGACAGATAACTGTTGTCACTGTGTCTTTGGACACGACTGTGTTTGTCAGAGACCACAAAGATAGACTCTTAACTCCTGTCCCAGCTGCTGAGTGTTCAATGCTAGCTACAGATGCTTTAACATGGACCTTACAAAAGAAAATCACTAGTGAATTGCTTCTCACAGTCTGTCTTCTGATATTAAAAGAAGTTACACAAGAAATGCAATCAAATTTAAAGAACATAATTCGTTATTTTCTTTCTTTGGTTGTTTTTGTCTTTTCTAGGTTTTATTTGTGGCTGGCTTGTCTTTTGTTATCGGTTTAGAAAGAACATTTAGATTCTTCTTTCAAAAGCACAAAATGAAAGCAACGGGCTTTTTCCTGGGTGGTGTGCTCATAGTTCTCATTGGTTGGCCTTTAATAGGAATGGTCTTTGAAATTTATGGGTTCTTCCTATTATTCAGGTAAGACTCATTAAGAAGTACCTTTTTGTATTGGCGTGTCTAGGAATAAATGTGTTCATTTAGTGCTGCCGCGTTACAGCTGACAAAGTGGCATCCTCTGCCTGTTTGCTGTTGACAGCTTTTATATGAAGCTGTTAATTTACACTTGCAAGAGGTGGAAAGTTGGTATGTATTTCTCTGAGACTCTAATCTGCTCATGTGTGAGGCATATACCAAACTGACTTTGGTAATGTTTATGTCTAACCAAAGATTGTGAAGCTTCAAAGTTTCTGGGAGCCGGCATTGTTAGCAGTGCAAAGTTTAAATACTGACTCCTGAAAAAGGCAACTTACATACTTTATATGTCTTTGGTGGGGAGTTTGTTCTTTAACAAAATATTTGGTTATGAACATCTTAGGTTTGTAACAACTGTGGTGGCTTAACCCCAGCCAACAGCTAAGCACTGCAAAGCTGTTCCTCACCTCCCCCTCCCCCAGTGGAGGAGGAGGACGGGAGGAAAAGGCAAGGAAACTTGTGGGCTGAGACAAAAACAATTTAAGAATTGGGTATAAATTAATAGCGATGCTAATAATGTGTAGTGAAAATAATACTACTAATAATAACATGTAATGGAAAATAAAACAAATGACACAACTGCTTGCCACTTGCCAATGACAGCCCAGCCAGTTCCCAAGTGGCGTAGCGAGAGCCAGAGCTGGAGAGACAGACCCAGAGTGAGAGAGAGAGACTGAGACCCCCAGCCCACTCTCCAACTTATGTACTGAGCATGACGTCTTACGGCATGAACTGTCCCTGCGGTCAGTTTGGGTCAGCTGTCCTGGCTGTGCCCCCTCCCAGGCTGTTGTATAGAAGAAGCTGGGAACACAGGGCCAGTATGAGAAACTGGAAAAGTCCTTCAGCAGTCTTCTCAGCACACATCCAAAACATAGCCTTATATTAACTACTGTAAAGAAAATTAACTGTGTCCCAACTAAAACCAGCACAATAACTGTCATGTTAACTTTCTTTAGTTAATGTAATAAGAACCGTACATAGTTTTAAAGGGAATTACTCAGAATTAACTTCTGCTGGTTTTAGATTCTTGCAATACTCAATATATTTTCTCATATGTATGGTAATTTTGAGAAATTAATTGGGAGTGTCAGTTCTGTTGATGAAGTTGGGTATTCTTTCTTTCATTGGTGCTTTTTTGAAGAGCTGACAGTGTTGCCAGCTACAGAGAAAACCAAGGCCATTTAACAATAAGGTTTTCTTTCCTGGTTTTCTCCTTTCTGTGCTAAGTCTATGTTCATGTTTGGCAAAATTAATGTGCTGCTAACAAGGTACAAGATTTCATGTAAACTTGGTTTAAAAACTACCTCCTATTTCTTCATTTTATAGCAATATGAGAATAGTTTAATTATAAAACTAAGATACTCTTCTGATCTCTTGCCTAAAGGGGGTTCTTTCCTGTGGTGGTTGGCTTTATTAGAAGAGTTCCAGTTCTCGGCTATCTCTTGAATTTACCCGGTATAAGCTCGGTAAGTGTTTGGTACTTCATGCAAGATTCTAGGCTTGTACTGGTTTTTTTTTATTCTGTGGTTATAGCTGTAGTCGAAATGCATTAGAAAGAAAGCAAATACCACTTCAGAGCAGTGACTTTGAGTGTAGCCCTGTATAGTTCTTGCACTGTACAGGTCGCCTTCGTTCCCAGTGAGAGACTTGTAGATGTAAAAGGAACAAAAGGATCCTTTGCAGAAGCTGCCCCTGCTTACACCTTGTGAAGTGGGAAGAGCCCTGGCTTGCGGCTCGGAACGCTGCGGTTCTGCTTCCTGCCTCACTGTTGGCCCTAGGGGACTAGATAGGTGAATGATGCCACGGTTCTGTCTCTGCTGTCTGTACGATGAGGAGGACACTGTTCTTTGTGTAGTATTTGGATATATTTGAGAAGGGGCCTGTAGAAGTTTAGTTCAGTGTGAAGTTGCAGCTTGTGTGGTGAATCCAGAAACTCTCATGATGCATAATCATTCATCAAATATATTGAAGTCCACTGCACCAGGCTATGTCCTTCTATTCACTGAGATTTGTATTTTTAAGTGCAGTCTTCCATTTTCTTAATCAAATAGCCAGGTATTTGAAGACAGTTAACAGGTGCCAGAAAGATGGTAACCTAGAGTTTCAGTCAACTACTTTTACTGTGCTAATTTTTCTATGTGTTTTAACACAAATGTTTCTAACCCTAGTTTTGAAAGCAACAGTTTTAATAGCTGCTACTACAAAATTAATAGAGGGTAAAACTCTAGATGTATACAGTATCTTTTTTTAAAAAAAAAAATCACATTCAAGGTCATCTGTTCCAATCTTGCAATTAGGCCAAGTTCTGGCTCATAATTCCTGATCAATTGAATGATTTGCTTGTCAATTGATCTTGCTTAGTCATATTTAATTTGATCATAACGGGGTTAAATCTTCTTTTAAAAAGATAATTGTTAATGTTTTATTCAAAGCCTACGTAGGCTCAGAAGAGAATCCACAGTAATGGTCAGTTGAAATGTCTTACTTGGTCTACTAATGCATGTGTGGCTGATCCTGTATCATTTTGTTTTACTCATTAAGCTAGCAGTGTTATCTGCATTCTTCTATTTCCTTTTTCATTCTGTTGCACCTTCATGTTGCACTGTTAATGTCTGTATGGGAAAAACATGTCATGCAGAAACACAGTTGCAATGTGAGATTTTTAATTTTCACAAACTTAAATCATGAGACCTTGGTGAGTACTACTTTCATTTTCAGTCGCCTACTAACTGTGCAAGTAGCAAGTAATATTTGAGTAACTTCACTGCACATAAATGTCACGCAGGTTAAAACCTTTTTTGTCTCCTTTCCCACAGCTTGTAGATAAAGTTGGAGAAAGCAACAACATGGTATAATGACAAGAGGGCAGAAGACTGATTCTAAACTTACTGTATTATTTATAAAACCCTTTTGAAGAATACTCAGCACAAAGATTAAGTTGTGTACAAAGGAAAAGCTTGTTACATTCTTTACATAACAGTTTAATTTAATGTGTATAGTCAACAATATACATTAGAAAAGAAGCTCTAGGAAAGTAACTCCAGAGTTCAGGATGTAAACTGAAGAGGTGAAAGTCATGGAACAACCCATGTTACAACTGTTCAAGACTTTGTTGGCTTTGGAAAACATGCTAGAGGCAATGAACCCTTGTGGAATTAGCAGAGCCTGTACTTTACCTCCTTATTTTGAAGGTGCAGTAGAGCAAACAGGCTTGCATTTTTTTTTTTTAAGGGTGACCCAAACTTATCTGACCCTCTGCTTGCTATCCTCAGAGTGCAAAATACCAAACAGAAAACTTCTTGTGTTACAAGAGCTGCGTCTTTGTGTGAAGGTTAAGATGACTATTCATCTTTAAGTGTATTATGACAAAAAAAGGAAACCCTACACGGTTCTGTTGTAAACATTTTTGTAAATATGTGGCTGAAATAAAACATTTATCTTAATGTTTCAAAGCCAAATGTAAGGTGATTGTATTTGCCTTCCCTTTTGGAATATGCAAAAGGTCAATCTTTGATAACTTCATTCTCCAGTGTTGGTTCTGAACATGTAGAGCTCAACAGGGAACTCTGGAAACCTGACTCGCACTCCTTCCAGTTTTTTCTCCCTGAGTCATGTTACACATGCATCTGGGTGGGAATGTAGCCCCTTGTCACTAACATGAAAACTCTGAAATATGCCTAGTTCACAGAAAAATGCATTTGCTTAAGGTGCTGACGTGAACCCTGTGAAATGTATCTTATTGAAATTTGAACCCTTGTTTTTTAAGTAGTTTGAAGCTAAGGTTTCTTGGTTTACTCTGGAACTGCAAATTTACTTTTATTTTTTACAGTAATAAAATGAAAACTTCAAATTCTGTGTACGTGAGTCTTTGGGGAGAAAACTGAACTAATGGGGCTAACTAAAGATCATGTGCCAACCTCCATCACATGTCTGGTAACATGCTGCTTGGGTTATCTCCATGTAACTCAAAACTTCTGTCAGTCACAGCAACAACCTTGCTGTTCAGAGATTCTTAGCTAACCTGGAATCAACATCCCCTATTAACCCAAGGGTAACATTTCTGCTTCTCTGGGAATGTTAAACATTGTGCACTTTCAATAGAGTTGCAGAGTGTCCTCACCTAACCAAACATGATGGTTTAGTAAATTTGTATTTGTGGGGGCTTCAGGGGTTTCTGTTGTTCTTAACTTTCTTGTCCCTGAAATGTAATCCTAATAAAGGTTACTGAAATGCAATGGTAGTATTTCAAGTAGCTGTGTAGTCTTAAAGCTTTGTCTAATGACTGTTTAGTGGTTTTGATGGGGTTTTTTTTCTTTATGCAGTTAAAATTGGTGTTTTCAAAAATAACTTTTAAGAAGAATCCTCATATACCAACCCTTTTGGAAATTGCTACAAAGCTCATTTGTATAAGACACGTTTTATTTTCATTACAACTGTATAAATAGCCACAATCTACTCTTCCCAACACTTAATTTGCTTCCTTCTCAAGCAGGCACAAAATGAGACAATGGGGGAAAAAAAAAAGCCATTATATTTACATTGAATAGCATCTGCAAAGTCAGTGGGGTTATTTTCTAAATGACAAAGAATGGCTCTGTTTGTTGTGGTTTACAAATAGGACTAAGCATGAGTTGTGGCTTCTACCTCAGGAGATGAACCAATTTTAACTGCTCCCATAGATCTGTTGTGTGTTATAGTGACTGGAGAACAACACTACAGCAGATTAGTGAACTCGTCTCATTTGTTTTGGTAGCGCGCTAGTCTGTACCGTGGGAACCAAGTCCTTTTTCAGAGCAGACAGTGTTTGTTATTTACTTTAGAAGTTGGCTATCTGAAGGTTTTTATTCTTGTCCTTGGAAAAGTAACATGATGGGGAAGGTGGATCGCACCACGTGGCTACGGAGCTCTGACTGAAAGCAGATGGCTCAGTAAGCTGAAGCACCTTCATCAGCAAGAAATCTGATCATCTTTCGGAGGTGACGACGTGTTGCTGTATACAGTCTTTTAGCCCTCTGAAATGTTGGGATGTAAGCAGTTCATCTGTTATTTAATTCACTGTTTTGAATCAAAAGTCAGTTTTTGTCAGACGTGAACTGTCGTGAAAAGCGTCTGAGGGAACACAATTGTATGTTGAATTTAGAGTAGTCTTTATCCTTCAAGGTAATGTTGTCTTTGGGGCAGTTTTGCCAAGATAAATGTGGCTGGCAGCAAAGGTCAAAACAACTTAGCCTTAAAGTGTTTCTGTCGTTGTAAAAATACCTTTAACAGAAACATGCTTGGAACGTTTCCCCTTTTAGTTGTAACTTTTAATTGCTGCTTTAAAAATCGTAAGGATGGATCTTGTTCTGAGAAAATGAATACTGTAAATATCCTTGTCATACCTTGAATAAATGGGTACCTTTTTCTATAATTTGTTGTTGTGTCTCCTTGCTTGTACATTTTAAAGTGTTCTGACAAGCTTTCCTTCCCAAAGGTTAGGGAGTGCATGCTGCTACTGCTTGGCTATCTTACACTGTCATGACTTTTGTAGTAAATAGTCTTTGATTAATCCTAAATGGAAAGGGTTCCTCTTTCTTACAACAAACCTTTTACATAAACATCCCTCTAGTTATACAGGTTCCAGTTTCAAACACATGACAACAAAATGTGGAAACGAGTTACGTGGGAAGTAGTTTCTTTGTTAAACTGCCTTCTTTCCTTTCTGAGGGAATAACAAACTTCAGGAGAAAAAGGGCACGTGTCTAGAACTTGAGGCAGGTTCTAGTTGCTGTGCTTTCAGGTTGGCTCAAGGATGTGAGCCTGAGTTCTCTGTGTCCTAGAGAGTGGCTCAGAGTTTGTTCTATCTATCTTTAGAATTCCAAAGAGTTATCACTTCCTAATATGAAAGGGAAAAATATCCCAGCTACATCTAATTATATTTGTTAAGCTGTGAGAGGTATAATGTTAATCTGTATGTAGCTCGTGGCAAGTTACCTTTCGTGAGCAGTCGCCGTTTGTGAATTGGGAATACTTTGTTACTGCTCATGATACGGTACCACTGTAGTTCAGAGCCTGGGTCAAAAACGCTGTAAAGAAAGGTATCTTGTCTCAGCAGTAGATGTCAAAGGCAAGGTTTCATTGAATTCGTTTAAAATGGTTTCCGTGCCAGATTTCAAGGTACAGACTCATCTAGTTGATGCTTTTCTGGTTCACCTCATTATCAGGCTTGAAAGCAGAGTCCACATCCCTGAACAAAATGTAGTATGCCTGTCTCCCTGCTGTCTCTGCAGACAGTGCTGCCAACGCTTGGCCTCCTGTCTCCGTTTCTCTGGCTACCCTGTCCTGGCTTGCTTTGGCTGTCACTCCTACCCTTCAGATTGCCATTTCCAGCTGTGACAGCAGTGGCATGCTGTTACCAGGCTAACTTATCCAGCAGAATTTGCCCTTTGTGGCTCATTTGTTCCAAGCTTTACCCCTGTAGTATTTGTCTTGGCATATTAAAGCATCTTTCGGAAGACTTGGATCTCATGCTCAGTCCAACAAACAGATTCTGCAGCTGCCGTAACCCCTCGCCAAGCCTCATTTCAGCGCGGTTATCCCATGCTACGGCATCCTCCTCAAATATGTGACAATTTACCAACTAAGTGACAGGCCGGGAGGGGGCAGTAATTTGGTGTGGAATTCATTATCTCGAACTGTTCCGACCGATACTTTGGGATATTGCTCAGGGTCTATTTATAGAAATGCATTTTTGTGGGGCTTTTAGCAGTCATTGGTGCCTAGTTCACCTGAAGCAGCGCGTCGGGAGGCGTATACTTGCTGAAATACACCGTTCCGGAATACTTTCTGGCAAATACTGTTTTTCATTGAGGCTGTATTGAAGTATCTCACTGCATGTGATTTCTAAAGCTCATAAAAGCACTGGTTCCTAGCTGTCTTGCCACACTGTTGTGGTTTAACTCCGG